TAGTAGTTCATATTTAATAAATGAATACTGTACCTTTAGTTTGAACCCCGTATCCGGGGCCACACTCTGTGTGCCGGATACAGAAGTCATCAGCCGAGTAAAAGCCTTCTTTGCACCGACAGATCCTGTTGGTTGTCGGGGAGCACTCTGTTTCCACCTCCAGGTTACCTGTGCAAAGGTTGTTGCAGTACAGACACCTGGGCATGTAGTTCCACAGATCGGTGAAGTGGCCATTTTTGCACGGCTGACACTGTGTGGGTGTGGTGGCAGTGCAATGTGCAGACATGAACGTGCCCGGTGGACACTTGGGACATTTGAGGATTTCTTCGGTTACCGGGTCTCGGTGGTCAAAGGTGGGAACAGGATCCACCACTGAGGCACCACAGAGTGAACCAGAGAGCAGGAACAGCGCTGGCACGATAAGCTGTGAAGAGAAATGACACGTGACATTATGCGGGGAAAAAAAAAAAAAAAACAACAACAAAAAAGTACGCTCCCAATATTACACCAGAGATAAGACATACTGAGTTCCCAACAAACATGTTGACGATGAACCGGCGTTGTCTTGAAGTCTTGATGTCTAGTCTTAGGTTTATGTGTTGTTGTTTAAATCACGGGAATTCCCCACATCCTTACCGCGATGACGCTATCCACGCTTGGAAAACATTTGCGCACGTACAGACGTTAGGTACGGTTTCATATGCGGTCGCTATTCGTTTCGCCTTTAGGTGCACCTCGTAAATTCAGCCACCTCTACTCCCAAGGACATAAGGCTGTTTAAAAGGCTTTTTTTTGGGTCAATGTTTCCGTTGTTGGGATAAACACATGTCTTTAATAACTTTGTTGTTCTTGATGCCTTGTTTTATATAATTCAGTGCTGAAATCATAACAATAAGGTAGCTTCTAAAAGTGAAACATGAAAGCTAACACAAGGGTCTTGGTAATGTGTTAAATAAAAAAAATATTATAGGATTTGTTGAATTACAAAAATAGACTTGTTTTGAGATGAAACTTTCAGAAGTTTTGAATTATATACAACATGGCATCAAAAAGAGTAACAAAGTCATTAAAGATATGTTTATCCAAACAAAGGAAAATTAATCCAAAACAACAACCTCGTCTTTGTCTGTACAGATTTATGAACTTACGAGGTGCACCTGAAGGCACCATGAATAGCGACCTCATATTAAACCGTACATAACGCTGTAGATGCGCAATTGTTTTTTCAAGCGTTGATGACATGACTACAAGTGGTTGAAAAACAGTAGTGGTGTGC